GTTAGCTTGAGCCACACTCGCTAATGCTACTCTGTCAATGACAAACGAGTCGCCGTGGGAGCAAGTCGCCGTGACATGGTGGCTTTTCCTAGTGAAGTGTGCCAAGTAACTTAGAAGCACTTACTCAGCTCAAATCCAGACTGTGTTGGGACTGCGTTCGGCGATGTATCCTAACGGTACGCCCGGGAACAGTTAAGCAGCTAACCAAAGATAGCCTGAAAATCGCTGAGGGAGCAAAGTGAAGTTTTTCACGGGAAGAAAGCGAGAATGAGTAGGAGGGGTTGGTTGACCATGTATATACTGGGTGGGCAGAGCCTTGGAACAGCGCAACCGGTCTGTCAGGGACAGATGTGTTGTCATTGGAGCTTCCGTAGTTGGTCACGCCAGGGCGATTCCCCATAGTGAAACACCGAACGAAGTTAGAAAAAGAACTGGATTATTAATAATCACTTTCGAATTATGAGGAATAAAGTAAGCCTGACACTGGGTCTTATGCTCATCATCTAAAAAATAATCTGGATTTTTTTTAAATGATCACTTTATTTAGTTTCATTTGAGGCACAAACATCTCAATGTGGTGTACAAATAACAGCTGTAATTCCTGCAAGGCTGGGGTAATCTTTTCAGTTTTTTAAGCTCATAAATAAGCGTCAGCTTGGCATTTGGTTTTATTCCAGATCTCTAGTGATGGTGTACTGGGCCAGAGCTGTGGAAACTATGCCACTGCCAAGGAATTTCTGGACTGTGCTGTAGATTTATGTCTGTGCAGAGACATACATCTGTTATTTAGTTGGCCCAAAAAGACATGACACAAACAGTGTAAAAAGGAACCAGCTCATTGGGTAACACTTGGAATAATTCCCTCATGGATTAGATTGCATTTAGACAGGTGATTTTTAAACACAAAAATGACAAAGTTAATCTAACTCAAATTTTTAGATGAAAGTGATTACATCAAAAATTTTGAGTTAATGAAACTCAAAAATTGTTGAAAAAACACACCTTATTTAGTAGCTTTAGATGAACATTTTTAGGTGAAGTGAATACTTTATTGTTAACACATTCACTGTCATTGATGACAAAAGTCATCATTTGCATTTTGGAACCGTCAAAACGAGCCCCTGCACCATGAGAACAAACATTCCAGCTCCAAAGCCCCACGTAGGGATGAGGGAGTACACCACTATCTGTAATTGTATCTGCATCTGTTCAACCATCTAAATTATCTGTATCTGTAGCTGTACTCGGAGTGGGCGTGACCTAACCCTGAAGTGGGTGTACTGTAACCGGAAGTGGGTGTGGTTTACATCAAAACATTATTTTAAGTCTGAAATTGATATGGATTGATCGGAAGTTGCTATGTGTATTGTTTATTTGAAAACTATTTACAGAGCAGCCTCAGAACTGAGGTTAAATGTTTTTGATCACAATAGTAAAGGCACTATTACAGAACAAGTTTTTCAATAAAGTCAGAACATTAATATATAAGTGCATGAATTAATACATCTGAACTCATGCAGTAGGAACTAGGAAATATGAAATACTAGAACCAGACACATATTTTTTTATTAAACAGATTTTTTTCTGACGTTCTTGACATTTTCCCCACACAAAGTTAAACAACACAATGTTGATTAAGGGGTGTGTGTGTGTGAGAAAGAGAGAGAGAGAAAGAGAGAGAGAGAGAGAGAGAGAGAGAGAGAGAGAGAGAGAGAGAGTAAAAAAAAAAAAACCCGAGCCGAGCAGAGGCAGTGACCGACGCAGCACGAGCCATTTTCAGCTCTGTCTTGTCAAATGCACCACGTATGTTACGAAGAAAGTAACTTTCAGTATTAAACCGAAAAAGAAGCGAGCTGAAGAAAACCTAGGGACTACTGAAGAAACGTGAGCAACAGTGAAGCAAGCACAGAGAAATCCGTTATTGTATGTGTGTGTGTGCGTGGATGGGCCGGACTGAGACTGCAGAGTCGTATGTGTAGGGAGGGCATGATTACAGATATTTACGAGTTTTACTCCTTTCATGCTCGTATTCGTCAAAACTGCTTTATCCCTCATCCCTACTGCGTACGTCACGTGATCAGGAAGCAGAAAATCCATGTGTTAGGAGATCGTTTTGGGCCACTGCTGTGAAAAAAAGTGAGTCGCAAACCAGAAAAGCTTCTGCCGATCACAATTCGATAACAGATTATGAAAGAACGGATTAAGCTCGAAACGCGCGGATTCTTCCTGATGTAGGAGGTGAGTCTACTCTTTGTATTGGTAGTGTTGGCGCTGACATCATCCTAGCTTTCAACTTTCTTTGACTCTTAAAAAAACTGTAAAAACGCTGACAAATGCTGACTGCGAATGAGTTAAGTACGTACATTTTACTGGGTATTCTCTACTTTGCATTCTTAGTTTATAGTACTAATCTAAATCACTTCTGGTGCAAGCCCCTAGTGGATGAGGATGGAACTGCAATTTTGGCCACTTCTGTGTTGGCTTCAGAACATGCAGAACAAAATGGCCCTTTAGGTATAAACTACAAAATAATTAATAACAGTAGATCGGCACAGCTTGGTCATTCCTTTGACGAACCTACTCACCTATGACAACATGACACAACAAAAATTACCCCATTTGTACCACTGAACAAATTACTAACTAAGAACAACACAACACCCCACAGAAAACATGCTTAAACAAATACAACAAAATAACTAAAAGCATGACTACCCTCAATGCACCTCACCCACCAGTTATTTATTGTTCCTGAAATCCACCA